AAAGATGCTTGTATTCTAGACACACCCTAAGAGTCCTGGGCCCAGGGTGACTGGACAGGCTGCCAGGCCTCCTCTCTCCTACAGTCGAAGTGGGAGTGTCTGGGAACCAGTAAAGCAGGAGTAAATGGCACATGAAGTCACCAGCAGGGGCCTGCGCTTTGGGGATGCTTTCTTTTGGCCATGTAGTTGTGGGTCCAGGCACCTCACTTTGAATTTAAGTACTGCTACTGCTGCATCAGGCCCCTGTCTCCTGCCATCCCACCCCTTAGGCAAAGGACGAGCTGAACGAGACAGAGGAGAAGCGGGAGTCAGCCGTGAAGGAGCTCCGGGAGCTGGTGCATGAGAGAGCCAGCGGGGGCGAGGATTTGTGCAAGGCAGTGGCAGAGAAGGTGAAAGGAAAGGATGACAGCTTCTTCCTTCGCTTCATCCGTGCCCGCAAGTTCGATGTCAACAGAGCTTATGAGCTACTGAAAGGTGCAGCACTCCTTTCCTCTTCCTAAGTTCCCCTAGGCCCCAAGCTGGGGGCAAGGCCACCCCTGGCCTGTTATTATGGGGCACCATGCAGGATCCATCCCCTCTGTCTGACACCCTGCGGAGAGCTGATGTCCTGCACCTCTCTAGACGGTGGCGAGGATCCTGTAGCCATTTTCCCCAGTGACTCCAGCTGCTGCTAGGGTGCGGGTGTAAGGGGAAAGGGTAAGAGGTGGGATGAAGGACTGGAGGTTGTGGGACAAGCAAATGATGCCAGAGGGACAGGCCGGAGCAGTGAGGCACTCAGTTCCTCTGGAAGCTCTTGCCCTAGGATTCCAACAGACAGTGGCCACTGAAGTGTCTCTGTGTTCTGACCTGGCGGAGGCAGGTTGGGGTGATGCAAAGGGGGCCCCAGACTGTGGTGGCCAGGTCCACAAACCTCTGGACGCTGCTTGGCTCTGCCTCTGGGCTCCTTTGTTTCTGTGTCTGGGATAACGAGGCAGTAATTAGTGGTGCTGGATGGGAAGAGAAGCAGAAGCTGCTGGCAGAAGAGGCATTTTGTCCATTGGCATTTTCCCAGGGTGAGTTTCCTCATTTCATGCCTGACAGCTTTTAATGGCTACAGGATGCCAGGGACAGCGGGACTTGGGGGTAGGGTCTGGCTATAGGAGAGTGCAGCAAGTCACCCAGCAGAGAAGGAACAAAACAACCCTACATCATCAAAACCACTAAGCAGGCTCCCAAGATTGAGAGGGACCATTGGGGGGGGGGGGGCAGCTGGGGCTCTTGAAATTAGAAAGTGCTGGGGAAGGACAACTGTGGCTGCCAAATGGGGAGAGTTATGATGCATCAGACAGGAGCAGGATTTTAGCTGCACTGGTTTCAAATTAGGCATCTTCAAACTCAGGGTACCAGGTAGGAAAGAAGGGAAATGTTCTGTTCTGGGTGGTACTTCTGAATCTCAGCTGAGTAGAACTCAGTGCACAGTCAACCTGTGGAACTCCTTGCCAGAGGATGTGGTGAAAGCTAGGACTTTAACAGGGTTCAAAAAAGAGCTAGATAGATTCATGGAGGTTAAGTCCATCAATGGCTATTAGTCAGGATGGGTAGGAATGGTGTCCTTATCCTCTGTTTGTCTGGAAATGGGGGACAGGGGAGGAATCACGTGAAGATTACCTATTGTGTTGCCTCCCTCTGGGGCATCTGGTATTGGTCACTGTTGGCAGTCAGGATACTGGGCTAGATGGACCATTGGTCTGACCCCGTATGGCCATTCTTATATTCTTATGTGGCATTGGCCTGACTGCAGCTGGTAGATTCCTCTTGGGATAGCGCTTTGCCCTGTGGAGGACCATTCACTTGTACAGCGAATTGAGAGTTCCCTGCCCTCTTGTGACTGACATGGACCAGGCCTGATTGGAGTTTTGGGTGTGAGTCTTTAGGCAACTGCACCCTATCCTGCATCGGGCACACACAAAATCCAGCAGCATCTAGAACCAAACTCCCTGGCTCCCTATTCATCTCCTCTCCTTGGAGTCAGAGCCAGGTCCTGATGCTGACATCAGGAAAGGGAATTTGTTCTTATCCCAGACTCCGGCATTCTCTCTCTCTCTCTCTCTGACTCCAGGCTATGTAAACTTCCGTCAACAGTACCCAGAACTCTTTGATAACCTGACACCTGAAGCTGTGCGCAGCACCATTGAGGCTGGCTACCCCGGCATCCTGGCCAGCAGGGACAAATACGGCCGGGTGGTGATGCTCTTCAACATTGAGAACTGGGACTACGAGGAGATCACCTTTGATGAGGTCAGTTCAGCCGTGCTGCTCCGACATGTCAGAGCTCCACTTCCCATGCACTCCAAAGGGTGTCAGATCCCAGGCTCCTCTTTCCCGCAGGAAATGAGGATGGGGTCCCACCCCTCCCATTCTGGGCATCAAGGTCTACGCAAAGCTCTTTCCCCCAAGCTTGATGTTAGTAAGTAATATCCCAGGCAGCTCTGCTTGTATGGACAGAGCATGCTCCAGCCTAAGGGAACCCTGAATGCACTCTGCAGGCCAGGAGAAGCAGGTGTCACAATGCTAACAGCACTTAGCTTGGTTCATCTGCAGAGCTCAGAGTACTTTACAAAGCTAGGTCACTATTGCTGTCCCCATTACACAGACAGGGGAAAGGACTTGCCCAAGTACACTCAGCAGGTCAGGCGAGTCTGCACTAGTGCAACTTACATGTTCTCTTGACTGGTCTGGATTCATATGGTGCCCCATCTTAGACTTCCCTCTGAATTTGGCTCTGTATACGCGGGAATTGCTCATGTAGCATTGAAATGCATGGGCCACTGGTGTGGAACAGGGCAGCAGTTTAACAGCACACAGCAACGCTGCATAATGTGGATAAGATGAGAGGAAGAAAACATAATACAGGCAGGCATAACATAATTGGCAGAGCTGGAATTTGAACGGGACACGGGCTAATACTCTGACTCTGCGGAACCATGCCAGAGGATCTATAGAGGCTGGACTCAGCCAGGCCCTTGCACTTGCATGATAATGATTTCTGTCTCTCTTCCTCCGGCTCAGATTCTTCGTGCATATTGCGTTATCTTAGAGAAGCTGCTGGAGAATGAAGAGACCCAGATCAATGGACTCTGCATCATTGAGAATTTCACGGGCTTCACCATGCAGCAGGCGTCGGGCATCAAACCCTCTGAGCTCAAGAAGATGGTGGATATGCTGCAGGTGAAGCCATCCGTCTGCTTCCCCCAAGTAGCAACAAGACAGGAATGCAGGGTTAAGTTACCCATAATAAAGGGGACTCAAACAGTGGCAAACAAATCCCGAGGCATCTGCAGGGCCATGAGGAATCAGACTGGCCAGGGAAGGGATTAGTCCAGGATAGCAGCACGAAGGTATTTTAGTTAGAGAATATGCCTCCACATAGACAGGCATTACTCTCCATATTAAAGTGCTCCTCAGTCAGTTCTGGCTCCCTCCAGGGATTATACTGGGCAGCCAAGACTCACTGGCTGATGCAAACATTGTTGCTGGAAGCAGCATGTTACAGAGAGGCTGAAACTAGAATGGTACGACAGGTTCAATAGAAGTTCATAATTCCTGCAAAGATGCAGTTCCACCTACCAGGTGTGGCATTCCCTGGGCTGCTCTTTGCCCCGTGTGGCAGTGCAAATTTAGTTGCCATCACTGTGCAAGACCATCTTTTCATGCCCTCAGCCCCAGCAAAAAGTTCCTTCTGAAAGTCACCATCCCCACTATTATCCCAATTCAGATACTATTGGGCTGGACAAAGATTCATTCTCAGAATGTGACTGATTCTGTGCTTTTGGAATCAGACCAAAGACAGAGGGATCCAGCGGCCCCTGCCAGGAAAGCCAGATTATAGAGAGGTATTTCTTCTGTGGTTGGGGGACCGTGAGTTGCCACTGCTGCCCTAGCAATTCCTTAGGACACAACTGGCTCTGTGCATTGGCAGAAGAGGATGCACATTCTGCAGTAGATGGGTAATACAAAAAGGCCCTCAAGATGAATGCAAGAAGTGGGGTTTTAACAGGGAATAGGGGGATGGGAGAAGATGAGGAAGAAAGAAATTGCCCATCTGGGGTTACCGTTTCCACCTATGCCACAGTTGTCTTGCCCCTCCCATTTGCTGCTTTCTTGGTATGCCCACGCTGCCCATGTAACACTTTGTGTATGGGTTTGGGATCTGTAGGACTCCTTCCCAGCTCGATTCAAGGCCGTTCACTTCATCCACCAGCCTTGGTACTTCACCACTACCTACAACGTGGTCAAACCTTTCCTGAAGAGCAAACTCCTGGAGAGGGTGAGTGTAGGGGAAGGGCCCGAATGAACTGTGCTTGCAGAAGCAGAGAGTGGTGGGGTCTGGGAACACACAGGCTCTGACCCAAATCAGGATGAAGCAAAGAAAACCCAGAAGGATAGAGCGATGTCTTTTGCGTCTCTGGCCAGTGGTTTCTCTGCTCTTGGGCGGACTCTGCTGGTGCCAGACTAGGAAACAAGCAGTGACTCGCTAAATAGAGAAACATCAAACCTAGTTTATCAGCCTCTCAGGGAGCTGCAGTGTTGCCTGTAGCCAGAGTTCTACTGAGCTCTTCCCAGCAACGGCTGGGCACAGGAGCTGGCAGCTATGTACAGAGACTGGCCCCTATAGGAAAATGGGTCGAACATGGAGGGGTGTGTGAAGAGGTGGGGGTACCTGCTCACTGCATCAGGCTCACCATGCCCATGTGCATCATCACCATGCTAAGATCACCACTGCAGCTATTTTCTTTGGGCACCAGCTGGGAAAACAAACTTGCCCCGCAAGGAAGAGTGCTTGTGCAGCCCCTGGTTAGTCTGATGAGGGCCAACACCAGTCACTCACTGGTGCAGGCATCATCTGGTTTCCTCAGGGCTGTGGCATGCTTCTTAGGCAGATGTGCTCCCATTTGTGAGTCTGGAAGCTCCCGTGCATGTTGCTATGCTCAGCTCTGTGTCACTCCTTCTTGCCTCACTCCAGGTCTTTGTGCATGGGGAGGAGCTAGAGTCCTTCTATCAGGAGATCGATGCTGACATCTTGCCAGCAGATTTTGGTGGCAACCTGCCCAAATATGATGGCAAAGCCACCGCTGAGAAGCTTTTTGGACCCCGGATTGAGGCTGAAGACACAGCTCTATAAAGAAAATCCCCTCCCTGCTTCCCCATCTGATAAGACTAGAGACATCTGTCTAACCCAGCACACTTACGCCCTGCCTTACTGTAGCATTGATTGCACAATCGCTTGTGATGATAAACTCTGGGTGCGTATCTCCACACATGCTCCTCACCCCTTCAAAAATCCATCAAGGATCTTCTCTCTCCAGCTGTCCAGCAGGGGAGCAAACCATAAACAATCGGTTCTGTCATGGCACCTCCTGAAGCTGCTAAGAGAAGGACAGGGCAGCAACTGAATGGAGAAGAGACTGTCAGGCTGGTCTCAGCCCCACCCTTCACCTGAACACTGGACCATGGCTCACCTCCAGCCTAGGTAGTGTAGTAGCTGCAAAGTGCCTTTCCCTGTGCTTGCTGGCTTGGCTTGTAAGAGTGCAAGGCAGTAGGAAAGCAGGGCTCCAAGGCCAGCATTTGCCCACCCACAGCAGGGTACTCGGAGGCCAGGCTAGTGACAGGTGGCTATAGCTGAAGGAGGAGAGCAGTGTGGTAGTAAAGTTGTAGAACAGTCTCCGGGTAGCTGGAAGAATTCCAAGCATCGCATGTGACTGTGTGGATGACACAGGCAGAGTCCACCACCACAGGAGGCCCCCAAGAAGCACTGTTTGAAATACGTACACAGCGAAATAAAGTGCACAACCGCAGGGATGCTTTGGGTCCCTTTGTAGTCCCTGCCCCTCCACCACCCATAAATGGGCCAATGGGTTGTCATCTCCAGTCAGGAGGAGGCTAGATGCAAAGGCATTTGTAAGGGTCGGTGGAAGGTTGTGCCCAGGAGGATGCAGCGAGCACTCCTTCCTCCAGACACACTAGGGGAGCTGGCACAGCAGAAGGGACACAGGCTGCGTCAAGAACTACCACCCCCAGCCCTTCTCACTGAAGAGGGCAAGGCGGGAATGTGTATGGAGCCTGAGCTCCCCAGTCTCCCAGTCAGGCTTCCTCCTGGCTGCTGCCCATGCCAAGCTAGGATTGGGGTATGTGCAAATACCCAAGCCCTAGCAGGACCTGGGGAAAGGAGCTTCTTCCCTCTGCCCTAGGGCATGTTGGGAGATGCAGGGGGTGGCTGCATGGTTAAGGTTAGTGAGGCTGCACTCAGTGGCCCTGAGGAGGTCCCCACTCCATAGAGCAGTAATGTCAGCAAAACGGGGGAAGGGGTTAAATATAGGCCTGTGGGGAGGGAGGGGGGAGAACAATGAGCTTCACACTCTGAGGATGCCTTTTGCCTCCCAGCATTGCAGCAGAGCAACAACCTGCAAATCAGGCAGGGGCTGGGTAAAGAGCAACCAAGGCTGGGGTGACCTCCTACCCCCAAGATGCTACCTTACTCCCTGATAGGAGGGAAGGAACTACTTGGAGAGGGGGCAGTTGCAAAGGGTGTGTGTGCCTTCAGCCCAGGGTCGTTCAAGCCAAGGGAAGGGAGGCTGGGCAGGTTTCTTTTATAAAGCAGAACAACTCAGACTGAGTCACATTAAAAGCTCATTGCAGGACAGCAGACTCGTGAGAGTCTTAATCATGGACCCTTTGGCTGTGTCTAGACTGGCAAGTTTTTCCGGAAAAGCACTGACGATCACATGTAAGATTGTCAGTGCTTTTCCGAAATTCAAGCGGCCAGTGTAGACAGCTCAGATTTGTTTTCCGCAAAAAAGCCCCGATTGCCATTTTCGCAATTGGGGCTTTTTTGCGGAAAACTGCGGCTAGATTGGCACGGACGCGTTTCCACAAAAAGTGCTTTTGCAGAAAAGTATCCTGCCAATCTAGACGCGCTTTTCCGAAAATGCTTTTAACGGAAAACTTTTCCGTTAAAAGCATTTTCGGAAAAGCGCGTCTAGATTGGCACGGACGCGTTTCCACAAAAAGTGCTTTTGCAGAAAAGTATCCTGCCAATCTAGACGCGCTTTTCCGAAAATGCTTTTAACGGAAAACTTTTCCGTTAAAAGCATTTTCGGAAAATCATGCCAGTGTAGAAGTAGCCTTTGACTTCATTGACCTGCAGGCAATAGGCACAAGTGGTGGGTGCCCAAAGAGAAGCATGGTTTGGGAAGAAGCCGGTTTTCCTCTGTCCCAAGTCTTCGTAGTCACCTTCTACCAGTGTTAAGCTACGGCTGTTGTCCCATTCCTCCCTCCATCCCCCCTCCCATTCTCAGCTCTCAGACTACACAGGGTACCCTTAATTTGCAAAGCAAAATAGCAGGGGTTCATCTGAACTGTCTGGAGATGGAGGATGCTGACAAGAGGCACATTCATCAGGGCACTGGCTCAGATTCAAACCAAACAGGATGTCTGCTCTGAAGCTGCAGGGAGGATGGGGCCTGTCTGAGCAGAGAGAGCTGGGTCTAGGTCAGCTTTCCCCAGCAACAGCACCCAGTAGTCCTACACAACAGCACATGCAAGTCCCAGGATCAGCCTCAGGCAGGATCCCTGAGGGAGTGATGGGACAGCGGTCAACTATCTTGGATCTGTTACTTTACTAATGCCCAGTTTACACTGCAGGATACAGCCCAAAGCTCTGCGAGGTCTGCCAGGAGCAGGCAGGTGAGAAGTCACTACTCCCCTTTCAATTTCCATCAACCAGTTCATTTGGGGGGTTGGTATCTGCAGCAATCCCAATGATGTGCTATGTGGTCATGCAGTCAGCAAGTTGGGGCAGAGCACAAGCTAGTCTCGGGCATTGAAACAGCAACCTGGGCCCCTTGTAGGGATGGGGAGGTGTGTCCCCACAGACAGATTCAAAGTTCAGAACATGCCCATTGGCAGAGGAGTCAATGGCCTGAAGACAGGTCCTTTGGCATTTAGCTAGGGTGCCAACCCCACTTCCAGACACTTCTGGAAAGTCAACAAAGCTGTTCACCTAACTTTCAGTTGAATGACTAGATTACCTTGTAAGCCTCAGATCAGCAAAGGGCAACTGTCTGACATGGGCTGGGATCAACCCAGTGCCCCAGCAGAGAAAGAACTGGCACTGCAAACTGACTGGTCAGAGCATCGCTCTGAGGGCTCTGCCCAAAGCAGGAAACTGAGCAAGAACAATCACTGGAGAGCTGAGAACGTCTCACTTGATAGCACAACTCCCCTTTTCTGGCTTAATACAATTCATTTTATAAGAGGGCATCTAAATCCTAGTTGCGGGGTAGGCAATGATGGTACTTGCCCACCCTACCCCTCACTCCCTGAGCAA